TTTGATAATTGTACCAAAAAAAAAAAAAAAGGTTTGATGAATATACGCATAACCATAGGGCCTTGCTAACTATGGTTGCCTCATTTTTGAAAATGGTAGGGAAAAAAACTTAATTCCTTCTTAATTAGTCTAGACAATTGGGTGGGTTGTTATCACCATCAACCAGAATAAAGCTTTCGAGACTGAGGTTGAAAGGAGATCTTGGAATCGCAAGGGATCCGAGAGGTTGAAGCTGATACTGAAAATTTATATGGTACTTTTGAGCTATGATCAGATCTACCCAGAGAAATATATGCTCAGAAAGGCCAAGTTAGGTCAAGTTACGGTGATAAGAAATATCTTGTATTCAATACTTTCTCTACCTCTTTTCTTTCTTTCCAAATCAGTAGGGGATTGGGCCTCTCTTTATTTGTCTTTTAGTGCCTTAATGTTTAAATCTAAGTCCAGTTGCGAATGTTAGCAGCAAAAGGCCTTGTTTATGGTATTTACCATATGCTAAAAAGTGATATTTAGATGTCTCTCCAAGCATAAGCAAGATGTTCATTACTCTAAACTTGTTGCTTTTTGTGTATGTTTTGCAGATTTAGGCTGCGGAAGCAAACACTTTGTTGAACAGGTCTCATGGCTATTGAGCAATACTTTGAAGAAGCTGTATCTCATAACGATTTAAGTGGAGGACACAAAAATTCCCCTGAAAAGTGGAAATCTGCATCGGATTCAATAACAGGTTCTAATGACAATCCCCCCAGAGGTTTTGACTGCAACATCTGCCTAGACTCCGTGCAGGATCCGGTAGTCACACTCTGTGGTCACTTATATTGCTGGCCCTGCATATACAAATGGCTTCATTTCGGGAGCATGTCTTCAGGAAGTCAAGATCAGAAACAACAGCAGTGTCCCGTATGTAAAGCTGAAGTTTCTCAGGCCTCTCTCATTCCACTTTATGGCCCGGGTCTAAACAAAAAGCATCCCAAAAGCAAGGCTCCCCACCTTGGTAAAGTCATTCCAAAGAGACCTCTTGGCCCTGCCTGTGGAGTTGACGCACCAAGGTCACATAGCAGTCCACACTTTTCCCCACAATTTCATCATCGTCACGGTTCACATCAATCGCATATGTATTACTCTCAACAGGGCAGTTATCCGGCTACACCCATGCTTAGTCTAGGCAGCACAACGGGAAACTTATTTGATCCAGTCATTGGAATGTTTGGAGAAATGATCTATTCAAGGATATTCGGGAACTCGATAACAAACATTTATACTTATCCAAATACATACGATCTTGTGGGAAACACAAATCCCAGGATCAGAAGGCACTTGATGCAAGCTGACAAGTCACTCAGCAGAATAAGTTTTTTCCTTCTCTGTTGCTTACTTCTATGCCTTCTTTTGTTCTGACCATCAACTCCACTCCTTCCTTGCCCCATTGTTTACATTCAAATGATATTGAGATTCAGCCGGATGTATCAGATGGTTACGAGAAGCTGCATTCCCTGAGCTGAGCTGTAATACTTGAAAAATGCAAATCAATCAATGAAGAAGCTTTCAAGACAGATCATTGTCTGTTTTAAGTTGAATAATCTCTGCCTTGATGCCTCCAGAGAAGACGTAGGGAAATCATCAGAACTCAGAAGGGGTCACTGCCTGATTTGCCTCTCTAGTCCAACGTTGTTACTGCATCTGCTCATTGTTCCTGACCTTTCTAAAGATGGGCAACTGTGCTGTGCATTGTTCAAAAAATCAAAAGATACACATAAATTTTGCATTCGCATCACCACTTGTAAATGTGTCTTAGTTTAAAGCAGTTCATTTTTTTGGGTCATTGTCTAGGACATGCAGATTTTGATGGCTTATAATGGCAAAGCAGTTTGGTTGTTGGAGATCTTTGGCATGCTGTCGCAGATCTCCAACATGCTGTGAAGGACATTTTATACTATAAATATATATGAAGATGAAGTCAAGCAACCTAGGCCTACCCCTTTCAAAATAGCTTACCTGTATTTATCTTTCAATGCTCAAACACATGTCAATCCTCAAGCTTTCTTAGTTTAGTTTCTAGCTAGACACTTCTTTACAGGCTCCACAGAAGCTTGCCCTTCTCAAACTAGTCCAGTGCTATCTTTCTTTTCAGTTTTACAAAGCTTTTGTAGTCAATGTATTTGGTTACGCTCTCTCAAGTAGTGCCTAGCTCTACATTGCCAAGCCCTAGTTATTTATTTTTATTTTGATTCAAACATCGTCATTGATGTATTTTGTTTCTTGCCATTCATCAAAGCTTTAGTAAAGTCCTCTTTAGATCCTTGTTTCTTTAGCTTTTGTTAATTGTTCATGCTTCCAGCGATTTAGTTTCTTAATTTTTGCCTTGCACTCTCTTTTCCTCCCTTTTTATCTTTATTTTGATTAATAAACTCCTATTTTGGCCCTAGTTATGTGAAGTTTCCAATGTTTTTTTAGAGCAATTATTTATAGACTTTTATGCAAGAATGCACCCTTGTTTCCATGACAATTGTCGAACCACGGCACATCTTATCATTTATTCAAGCAGTGCTTTTCCATTGACTTGAAGTGGAGTTTCATGCTTGGAAGTAGTGAGTTGTTGAGAATAATTTTTTCTCACTTTGAGCAAAGTGAGTGGCATACCTTCGCAATTCCATCTACCACACAGCCAAAAAGAGAAATTTTGGAAGCAATAATCTTTTTTTCTATGAAGATTGTTATCTCAAAAAATCTCTTTCACATGTGGTAGGTGAATTGGTGTGTCACTTGCTTTACTTAAAACAAGAAAAATTTCTTTTGACAACCCTCTCTTCCTTTCAGGTGTGGAACTTGATTGTAGGTTGATGGAAGAATGTTGTAGATTGTGCCTTAAAAGGTCAAACAATGGCAAGAATGAGGGAAAAACTTCCCACTCTAATGGGTTAAAAGAGAGATTGCCTTGTATATGTCTCCAAGGACATCACCTAACAAATGTACCTAGGAAGGACTAAAGGAAAAGTAGATGAATGTTGTGTAAGTTTAAATAAATCTATAAAGATAAGCTAAATTAAAGTAAGGCTTTTGAAAAGAATTTTAAATGAAGTAAGGCAAGTTAAATTAAACAAAGCTAGAAGCATAGAAAGTACATTGGTAGTATGAAATTAAAATCAATAGAAACAAAATGAAATGTGAATTGGAATATCAACATTGCTTAATTAAGTAGAAACATATGAAGGAAAATACTTAGAAAATTAACAAAGGAAAGGAAGCAATTCAATTACAAGGAACTATTGTTGGCGGTAGCAAATCTTACCACTACAAAACCAACAAAAGGAAAGCTAAACTGCTTTCTCAGGGAATTTTAGTAAATTTCTAGAATTCCTAAAGGTTTAAAAGAAAGAGACATTTATCTAAAGCTACATACTAATGTGGGTGGAAGCATAAAGCTAAGAACTAAACTAATAAAGCTTGAAAACTAAAATGTGCTTTAGCATATTGAAAGAGATATAGTGTTAGGCTATTATGAGAAGGATTGGCCTACCTTGACTCCATTTTTGTGTTTTTATAGTGTTAATCACCCTTGGAAAAAAGTTGGAAATCTGCAACACACTCTAAAATTATGCAATAACCAAATTGTTTTCCTGATAACATGGCAAAAACCATTCAAGCTTTATCTAGAAAAAATCAACCATAAAGCTTAAATATATAAGATCACCACATGACAACCTCCCTCAACACTTGGTATGTTACAATCCTTCTCTCCCTCAAAATAGGATGTGGCACCATCCTATTTGTTGCAAAATTAGGTGTAAACATTGTCACCTAATTTTTGGCCTTACAAGAGTAGGCGCCAAAAATTTAAGGACCTTGATGGTAGCATTTAGTCTCCTTGTGCCACATATTCAGCTTGCAACCTCCAAACTTCTAAAGGGTGCAAACTCCTTCATTCTTCTTTCTTCTTAAATCTTTTATTTATTTGTTCTTTTTCCTTTCTCTTTTTCTTCTAGTTCCTTCAAAAATGCAGTATAGCCAACCATTTTCCCTTTTCTTTAACCTCATCATTCTATGATTTACAAATGCTAGCAAATTAACCAATTCACACCATCAATATCTACCAAATGTCAATCTTGGCCAAAAGCCCTTCTTTAAAGGTCATAACAACAATATAACACTAGTGACACTAACCTAATGACATTGCTATGGCATGAATTTGGTGATGTCTAAAAAAAGAATTTCTAGAATCATTGAAAAAAATCCTTCTTGTTATACTAATGGAATACGAATCGCTCAAACAATTCTCAAAGTTTAGATTGTTTTAGAGCACCTATCCCTACCCCTTTACAACTCCATTATACCTAACTAATCAAACACCTACTACCCTTCTAAATTAAACCACATTAGAATAAATGGTTAGGTGTTTGGTTGCCTAACTGACAATAAGCCTAAGAGAATGGCAAGCATTGGTCAAATGATTGGAGCTTTCTTTATAGATTTATACAAGCTTGTCAGGCTTTATGAGTTCATTTAAATGACCAAGTCCCTTTTTTCTTCAGATAGAAATGTATTGTCGACAACTCTACATTTTTGCTTAGGATTTTACAACTACTTTCACTTGTGGTGCCATTTACATTACTTTGTTAAGCATTTGTCCTTTAATCAACCTCCCTTATATTGGAGAAGAAATTTTTGCCTTACTGGTTATGCCTAAGGAAAAGTACAATGTTAGCAACATCAAATAATCCTTACTTGGCTTTCAGAAGGACTAAATAAATGCCTTTAAGGTCAAGGATTCAAATTTGATAGAAAATATCTCATTTATTCTTAATCTATAAATTTATAGCTAGCCTTACTAGGAAATATGTTGCTAAAGAATTTATCCCACTTGCTGTTGGTCTAGCTCAAGGCAAATAATTTGTTCTCACTTAACTCATACTTGGATACATATGCTATAGTTATTATGTTGTTGCCATAATTTCACTTAGGAAATTCAGTGGTGTGCTCTAAATCTTACAATTGTAGCTATATTTTTTTTTCTTATGATTACCTAAGAGTTCAAGAAGGTTAATGATGTTGACTTGTTGACCCATAGATTGCACTTCCAAAATGTGAAAAGGTTGTCAAAGAGATTTGAAACGTGCTTCAACTATGTTAACTCCCTTTTGATCAACTACTTAAATGTAGATTTTGCAATATTTCTTGAAAGGAAATATGACTAAAATTATACCTTATAGACAAAAATAATGAAGAATTCAAAGTTTGTTAAAATGCCTACATTTCTCTGTGGGACTTATTGGTTGTAACATTAAAGCACCATTATTAAGGTGCAATATGAAATTGAATACACCTAACTAATTCTACTGACAATTTGGGTACTGTTAAGACATCCTTATGCCACCTTAGCTTTTCAAGCAACATGTGTTTTCCTTGGAGTTTCCTTCTCATTGATATTAAGCTATTAGATAAGCAAAGTTATTTCACTAGGAAAATTCTTGAACCAGTCAACTTCCAACTATCTCTCTTTTAATCTAATTGAACAAAAGCATATAAGGACTAGTGGGTACCTTACTTTATATCACGTTTCGTGGTATAGTTGATTTTATTGATAGATTGGCTCCCTTACAAAATAGTAGAAAGTTGAAGAAATGGAGGAAAAAGTTGACAATGAGTTTGCCATATTTGTGAGTAAAGCAAAAAATCCTACACCTAAAAAACCAAAGATGCTACTAGTCAAAAGGAAAGCACCTTCTCCATCTATTTTTAGTGAAAAGGAAACACTAAGTAAGGCTGTAAAAGGTAAATCTTCTAACTTCCATTAGAATCCTTACTTTCATGAAATTGATAGTTATTTATGTAAATAGAGTTTATTCATGCTAACACCAAACCTACAATTTGCAAAGGTCAATGTTCCTTCCTTCAATGCTAAAGACATTTGATCTTCGTCTAGAATATTAAGCAAATATTTTAAAACCCTAAAAACCAAATGAAGATGTTGACCTTATGTAGGATTTTGAGAATTGCAATAAGTCTCCACTTCACCACCAAAAGCCTATTATTCTTATTCAAGTAATTATGAACTTTTAAAGCCATGTTTTGTTGTTTCGATGCTCATTGCCTTTATGCTTCTTGTTTCCACTTGGAATTTTATTCCTTTCACATTGAATTTGAGTGGCCACCTTATGAACTTGTAGGTTGAACTTTCTATGGTTGAAATTAATGTTGATGCTCTTAAAAATGAAGTTTGCCCAATTGGATATCTTGGATGACTCTTTGGCAAAAGAGAAAGTCCATGTCACTTGCTAAGGAGAAAAAGATCATGGAAAAGGATGTAACTAATGATTCTATTATCCTTGCTTAGGAGTTTGTTAATGCTATCATTCTTCTTCTTGAGTTATTGCATGGTAATCCATCTGAGCTTAGCCAACTTCTTAACCAAGTGGAAGCATTCAATACTACCAAGATTCTAAGCAAAGCTGCCACCCTAGATGCATCAGAGCGCCTATTCCAAAGTGACTTATATATTATATATAAGGCATTTAGCCATCAATAAATGAAGATGAAGTTGTCTAATACATCGATGGTTGTAAACCTTGCTCAACAACGTATAAAAACAACAAAAAAAGAAAAAAAAATAGAATACTTATAACAAGGTAAAAAAAGCCCTTATCACCCAAATAAAGTAATATTAAGACAACTTTAGAGAGTTGCCACATTAGAGATCCGTAATGTTGACTTGAGAAAAATAATAGTAAAAGAAGAAAATAGCCTCAAATCCTTTAAAGTTGAATGGTTCGAACTACTGAATGACTTGGGGAAAGATGGGCATGAAGCATTGGCAATAAATAGTGAGGCTGCACTGTAAAAAGAAAAAGCAAAAAGCAAAAGAGGCTAACCAGATATAAGTGGACTAGCAAGAAACAAAATCTTGGTTAGTTTTATACTTTTTGAGCATTTAGCCATCATTTTCACCTCCCTTGAGCTACTGAAACAATGATCTTTTTGAATTTTTTGTATTGTTAAATGATAAATGGATGAACTTGCTTGCATATTTAGCTTATAATTGCTCATTATTCTATCTTTATGCTACCCATAGCTTTATAAACAAAGCCACTTTAAATAGAAACATGTCATGCAACCTTAAATTGGATATATGCTTTTACAGTCCAAATCAACATCTCAACACACCTTTATTGAAAGAAAAAGCAAACTAAAATAAAATAATATGCAAATGTTTGCAACTTGAATCATGTAAACACAAAGGCATGGCTATCCTATATCTCCTACAAAATTGGGTAGGATGATTTCAAGTAAATCTCATTGATCTTA